GCTCTTTTTAAAGTGATAATGCAGTCATACATATAACCAGCCGCCTATATAGTTGCAGAATATATATAATTTTAAAAAATTCTAACAAGTAGAAGGTTTAAACATCGTAAAGAAAATCTGGGATATGGCTAGGCTCTTAACCCGCAAGTCTCAATTTCGAATCCGGTTCATGTTAGTAGAATGTCCCTGAGTCCACCCAGCTCAAATGGGTACCTAATCACGTTATGGAAAGTAAAGACAATGGGCATAGTGCTGACCACACTATCTCTCCATATACCGAGGTCATAGAAACAGGTGAACTACTTCACTAGCCGCGTGGACCGTCAGTTTCGGAAAGTGAACTTTACTTTGATGAGCGGATAATGTCAACATAATTATAATTCGAACATTCTGGAACTGCTGTAATCTTCAGACGTAGCATGCTGTATTGGAACACTGCCATACATCGAGACGTAAAACATGAAAAACAACAAACCAAAACTCTCAGCGTTCGTGGTTCAAAAGTCTCTTGGTCTAAAATAGAAACCTTTACCCCCGAGAAATGTCAAGGTCACGCCCCACGTGGTAGAGTTTTGGCATACACATATGAATAGGTTGAGTTTTTAGCTAGGAGCCTTTGGGCTGAATATAGATCGGTCATGCGTTTTTTTTTTTGTTTTTTTTTTTTTTGCAATGCATTGTGTTCTATTGTGTCTTGCCCTACAAGACATTCCTCGACAACTTTACAAAGACCAATTCTAGTCCATTACGACATTTCCTGATAACTTTATAATAGTCACCAATTCTTGTCATACAAGAAATTCCCCGATAACTTTACAATAGACAACAATTCTATAACTACGCATCCCCCGTGGGTGGGCGCTTAATCGCGAGATTAGCCCACGAATCGACGGTAGTTCGCCTGTAGGGGGGCGGTGTATCGACCAGTTTGTTTAATATACCCAGTGGGCTGATTGTGTTTCTATGGTCATATGATGTCTGAAGACACACTGTAATGGCCTGTTATTGACGGTCTAGCTACATATTAAAACATTGTTTATTCTGTCTTGGCTATATTTGTAGCTAAAAATTGGGAAATCGTTAGAAACCTATTTATCGACTGTCCAGTGCGGAGATATATTTCCTACGTGAAAAAAATGCAACAAAGCGCTTTTGAGTTCCTATTTTCTTGTGCTTGGCTCATATTTGTGCTCATGTTATAGAAATAATGATCATGTGCTAAATAACAAGAGTGTATGCGACATGTTCATACATTACTCATTTTGTTCATGTGTAGATTGTTGACATAACTGACTTAAGCTCACTACATGATTTAACTTGACGTTTTGACAATCAGGAAAGATCAGAAACAGGTTAACTCTACTTCACCTACCCCTAGAACGTTAGGTTCGAAAGGAAAGTTTACCATCACAACATGATGTGGCTTTATATTTACCATACGTTGCCTCAAAGTCACCTGTCGCATTAGTTACTTCTGGTTGATAGCCGTAAGCTTATCATGTTCACTACATAATCGATTCTCGCTTTGTTCAGTTAAATCCATCCATTAGTATACGCATTTTCCCCTTTCGTTTAATGTTTGAAAGAAAACTAATTCAATACACAACAGAAAGAAAACGAAATCAATACACAACAGACATATCGGTTTTGTATTTTTTTTCCACATTTTAAAATACGGTCTTGATTTTATTTATTTAAAAACAAATGAAACAAACATATACAGATTTCTTATTCATCATATTAATAATCAATTGTTAAAAGAATGGCTTATGCATAAAAGATTTTTTTAAATGTCCTTGTGATTGCATTGTTTTCGTTGCATACAATCTCAATTTTCACTTATTGTAAAAACACTTTTTTAAAATTATTTATTAAATGTGTGGCCTTTCTAAATAAATAAACATCTTCAACAACGTTACACCAAAGGTTGTATTCCCATAATCCTTTACGCTTTTCAACTCCGCCACCCTGACCCACTTCCCCTACACGACGTCAAGCCTCGGATACAATTTCATCTGTAACATGCACCACCCCTCTGTAGGAAGTGCCGCACCGAAAAAAGGTTAAACCCAAATTAGGAAGAAACTTACCTGCCAAGGGGAAATAATCTAGGCTGGGGTAATTGACTTGTCTGGCCATTGTTAAAAGACAGTGAGTCATCTATTCTTAGACTGAGAACCCCTTGAGACTGCGGGCGGATGTCGTTCACGCCGCGTTAGGCTAAAGATTGCATTTATCTCCGTCGTTGTAGTTTCCGGTTCCTTGTTGTTGTTGTTTTTTTAAATCTACTAATTTCTTTTGTTTCTTGTTTAGTTTATGTTGTCTTTCCCGGTGCATTTTTCTTGTTGTTGTTGTTTATATTCACCATTCCCTTCCCAATTTTTTTTTCTTTCTCTTCTGGAAAAGGGGTGAAAGAAAAAAAAAGAAAAAAAAAGACCTCCGGTAAGGGGGAGTGGGGGGGGGGGGGGGGGGGTACGGTTTGATCTGCGGTTTCTAAGTGATTAAAATATGTTCTTATTTATGGGTCGTCGTTCATCAACCCTTCCACCCATCAACCCCTCCACCCCTCAACCCTTCCACCTATAAACCCTCCATCCATCCACCCCTATCCACCCATCCACCCCTATCCATCCACCCATCCACCCCTATCCACCCCTATCCAACCATCCACCCCTATCCACCCATCCACCCCTATCCACCCATCCACCCCTATCCACCCCCCCCCTCCCCCAACTCATCCTCCTCCACCCAAACACTGTCCAGCCCATTGTAATGTACATGATGTCATCTATCAAACCGCGGCCATTAATTGATTGACTCACGCGGCATTATCAGGCGGTGATCTAATCGTATCGATGTGTTATTGCCCCTGTGCTGGTCACTCTCCGGCTAGTTGGCACGGCGCCATGCAAGAAAACATTGACGCATTCACGTTTCGACGTTGACGCGAAAATAGATTTCTACAGAAAGGAGGCTGTCAAAGAGACATGTTTTTTTTTTTTGTTGTTGTTTTTTTTTTTGTTTTTTTTTTTTTGTCCCAACAAGTTTAAATAAAATAAAACGTGAACAGCGCTGGTGTGAGACGTGAGACCGGATAGTTTCGAACACACTCGCACAAACCACACCTCGCATGGGTTTTTACAAGCAGAGAGTTACCTAAGACACAATGTATTATCCCCGTGTTTGCGAAACGACACGATCTTCCTGTTAGAATGCGAATATCAAACACGCTCAACATGCATAGGTTTTCCAATAGGAAGCTAAACTGTTTGGTTAGGTGTACCTTAACTGTGAGTTGGGTTAGTTGTGCAATTTGAGTATTGTATTATTTAAAAATAAAGAAGGTTGGGTTTATAGTTTTTATTTTGAATAGAGTATTAGGTTACGTTTGTGGTTGGTGGTTACTGTTGGGTCAAGATGAAGAGTTGTTAATGTTTCTTTAGTGATTTAATTTCTGAATATGCTATTATGTTTCTTCTATTTGTTACGTAATTTTTTCACAACTTACCAAAGGCCATAACCCCCTCTTTTGTTACATTATTAGCAGCCCCCCCCCCACCACCCCACCACTACACTAAACACAAAAAACCCCAATAAAACGTCAATTTACTTATTTAAAAAAAGAATTTCCTATAGAAATGCAAAAAATGCTACTTCTCTACTCGACATAACACCCTCATTGTAATACATCAGTTCTTAAGATTAACTTCCCCCTGCCCCGCCCCAACCCCGGCTTAGTTGTTAGAAGTCTCTTCTGGACGATCCCCTCAAGTTGCCGAGTTGGTGTTTTAATAAGTTAAATACGTTTACAATATTGGCAAAAACTACAGAATTTTTCTTAGACTCTCTTTGCACAACATCGGCAACTGTTTAGGGTGTCTTTTTTTTATTGGCATTGGGGAGGGAAGTCTCAATTACGATTTTAGTTTGAGAGCATACAAACTGCGGCTTTTTGACATTCACCTTTTTGGAAATGAAAGCATTAGGCGCGACATGATAATAAGTCTTAACCAAACGTAAGCCGGCTTTCTGTTAACGGCCTAAGGATGTCGATGCTTTCAAAGCGCCCCCCCCCCCCTACACATTCCTGGCATTGCCGGAGTTATGTATAATGCAAAACAAGATATATCTTAAGGTCGTTCCTTTGTTAGGGTTTCCCCTAACGTATTTTGTTTTAAAATCGTAATGAAGTTTTGTCACTCAATTTATTTTTTTAAACATTAGTTTATATTTTTCTTTTCTTTTTTTCAAACAGCCGTGGGCATTTTGTCACCGATTTCTTTTTAGTTATTAATTTTTAATTTGCTTTTCTTTTTTAAACGGTGGACGAGTTCTCTTTCCTTTACATTCGTAACACACATTTTTGTCAACAATATATTCTTCGTTAAATAATGCTAATTTTTATCACTGACATCTCGACTAACAAAAAGGCCCAATATTGAAAATCTTTTGAGACCTTATCAAGCCTAAACCCGGCCCTGCATCCTGCCACAGATTTAAACACTGTGCGTACAATCGCAGTGTTTATATAGTACGTTCTATTACTACGTCTCTTCAATGGTGGGGCGGATGTGTGAAGATTGAAGGGCGATCTGACACGCAATGTTAGTGAATAGTGTAGCAGTACTAGCGGATCTAGGGCAAAAAAGGTGTGACACCCCCCCCCCCCCACCCCCACACACACACACAGGTCAAGACGTGCGGACCAAGTGCCAAATTCCTTACCGTCTGCCGGGGGCAGACGAGCGAGCAAATTTGATGTGAATTGACCTCTGTCCTGTTAACTCTGCGTATCATCGTTTCCTGTTTGAACGCGGGGCCTGTATCAACACAAATCGCGCACATTCGTCTTACAGAATCACATTTTAATTGTTATCTCCCTTGGTATTGTAACTCTCTTACTCAAATCTTTTTTTTTTTTACTTCCCCTTTTTTTTTATGGCGGTTAAAAGCATGCGGGAATTTGTAAGATTTAACACACCGCTGCTCTTCCTCGCCACTGGTCTTCCGGTCGTCTCCCATGTTGCGTAGTTTAAGTGCCCTTGGCTCCGTCTCGTTGACTCATTTAACCATCTGACTCACATCACGGGCCGTCGCTCCGTCAAACCAAGAAACCAAGATTGATCGATGACGTACGATGATAACGACAGCCCCACCCTAGCTGCGCGACCCGGGGTACCGCGCTGAAGACAAGAAAAAAAAACTACAACACAACAGCCTGTTGGATGAGTTAAAAAAATTTGCTTTAGAACTGTGTCACACATTACGTGGCGCTTTAGACTAGCTCGCGTGTGTGGATAAAACACATTCACATCCTTCCTGCTTGGCTTTGTCAATATAATTTTGTTTTTTCAAACCACTGCACTCCAGGATACGGCTTTAAAATGACGATTCTGTAAGTATTTTTTTTTTAACTCAATACTCCTAGAGTTGGTACGCGGTTAGAATTTTATTATTATGTTTTCGCTTTGTGTGGTATTGATTCTGGCATTTAACAAAGACAAGGAATTATTTGTAATGGTATGTTGGGGGAAAATGTCACAGGGTATTGTGTGTTCAGTAGCTAGCAGGGTGAATTAGTGTTGATTGTTGTTGATAAGGTGAAGGTCAGCATAAGTGGTATCTTTCAGGGTCAGTGGTCAGCGGCTTAAGGGTCAGATACCGCGTGAATGTATCTGAATAAATGATACATTCATTTCTTTTCTTGAGTTAAATATATGTGGATCTTTAAATAATTATATTTATTCCTAAGAATAAATACAGTAAGCTCTGAGTAAATATATTTTGGATCTTAAAATAAATATATTTGGCTCTTTGTGTAAATACATTGGCTCTCTGAGTAAATGCATTTGGTTCTATGAATAAATACATTTGGCTCTTTGAATAAATAAATGTGACTCTTTGAATAAATACATTTGGCTCTTTGAGAAAATACATTTGGCTCTTTGAGAAAATACATTTGTCTCTTTGAGTAAATACATTTGGCTCTTTGATTAAATACATTTGGCTCTTAAAGTATGAATTACACTTAGACAAGAATTGTACAAATATTCTTCTACCTTTAGTTTCAATGTAATATAACTGCTACTAAAAAGCCAGTCTCGAATATCGTTTTACGAGCTCATTCCCGTAAAACTTCCGTTAGTTCATTCAGCTCTGATACCTGATGGGGTGGGGGGGGGGGGGGGTAAAATCTGTCGGATACAGTGCTGAGCACTATATTACTTTAAGCTGAGAAAACAACAGATATACTGTTTCATCTTCCACGTTGACCTTCTGGGCTAAAATGGGGCTACTTAATTATTTTTTAAAGTTTCAGAAATGAAACATTTGCAATGTGGCTTCCTAATTATATTTAATATAATAATGATAATCATTACTAACAAAAATTAATAATGGCTGCATACCCTGTTTTAGACTTGTGTCAGCAGTTTCATCCCATCTACTGCCCAATTTATTATCTCTAAACTGTTGTTAGTTGTGATTATCGCTGCTTGTATTGATTTAGTTGTAGACAACTGTTTTCTTTTGCTGCTGGGATAGTCTTTTGTTTTATGGATGAATATTTTATATTGAGAGTACAATGTCCCCATCATAAACATTACAGGTGAACGCGTTTCAATGTAGGAATACTATATATATATATATAGAGAGAGAGAGAGAGTAAATGCTTTTGATATGTTGTTGTATAATATTATGTAACACGTTAGATGTGGGTTAACCGTACCTCTTTGTTTGTTGGAAATGGTTGTACCGTCATTTACATAAATAAAACATTAAGACATGCATGAAGGATTAAAGTACTGATTATTACATATACGGCTAAACCAGAGTTTCTTTTACACTTATTTATCCAGGGTGGGGGGGGGGGGGGGCTAAATTTTCAAGCGAGGGTTGGTGTGGAGCCACTGGTACAGGTATATATTTTCTATATACATTTCGTTGGTGGACGGAGGGGGTATGACCCAGAGGCGTAGCGACCCTTCCCGGCGCCTGGGGACAAACTTTTCGATTTGCACCCCTCCTCAAGATTTCGATCTGCACCCCCACCCTCAAGATTTCGATCTGCACCCCCCCCCCCAAACTTTCAATTTGCACCCCCCTCAACCTTTCAATTTATTTTTCCAATCCATTTTGGCGCCCCCTAAGGTCGGCTCCCGGGGACATATGTCGTCCCCCCCTCGCTACGCTACTGGTGTGACCTGCTGTTTTGTTTACGGAAACTGTACTGATTGACCCCCACCATAGTAGGTCATATAAAATCGTAGGTCATCGACACGTTTCGCGTCTCTGTGCTCTATGTATTGGTCATCTGTCATTAAAAGACCAAGTAAGCATTTGAATCAGTCTGGACAAGAAGCGGAATAGTCAACATTTGATAGCTGCTCCAATATGTCTTCTATTTAATTAAGTCCTGTATGGAGTGTGTGTTAAATGTTACAAGTTGGGGTACTTGTAACTAAGTGCTCCCCCCCCCCCCCCCCTTTAAAACAACATAATACAAGAAACTGTCATCTGTGTTTCACACTTGAAAAGCTGACACTTGACCCCTACAGCCTACAGTCAAGAAAATGTTCTTTTTTTTAGATGATAGTTACACTTGTACAGAAATATGATTTTTTTAAAATCAACTAGGAGCAAAAAGAAATTGCTACTAATGTTTTTCTCCAGGACAGAGATGCCTGGAAAGCACTTGTCTACATCTTATGTTCCAGGAGGGACGACAGGCTAACCTAACCCCCTAACTTAATGTGTTTCTGATAGACATGTACCTTTACATCATTTGCCAGTTGACCATGTACTTTATTGGGTGCTAGGTTTTTGGACAGGTATACGTTTAAGTATATAGTACAAGTGTAACTATTACGCTTAGAGTTATGGTTCGCGATGTGTATTAAGCAGTTCAATACGACCCTGCTACCATTTGTGTATCGTGATATAAAAGTATAAAAGACACATTGAAGAGGCGCAATTTGTGGAGTATAGTCTTCTGGACGTATCGGTATATAGTTTATATATACTTTTAATATCTACGTATAATTAGACGGTTTGGAATTCCCAACTTTGTTAGTGACTGACTGAACGAAGTTTGGAAGTTATTTTTTTTTTGTATCACCCAATAACGAAAGTTGATTTAAACTTCGTAACATGAAACAAAATGAAATGCAATCTTCTTGACCAGTAACTAAGCTACATATACCTTTCTTTACCTGTAACACAACAAATGCACTCTACTTCACCTGTAACAAAAACTACAAGTACTCTACTTCACCTGTAACAAAACTAAGTGCACTGTACTTCACCTGTAACAAAAACTACAAGTACTCTACTTCACCTGTAACAAAACTAAGTGCACTCTACTCCACCTGCAACAAAAACTACATGTACTCTACTTCATCATTAACAAAACTAATTTCACTCTACTACACCTGTAACAAAAACTAGATGTGCTCTTCTTCACCTGTAACAAAAATATACGCACTCTACTTCACCTGTAACAAAACTGTTCTCTACTTCGCCTGTAAGATAAACTAGATTTACTCTTCTTCACCTGCAACCTCCGCCTTAGCAGTAATATTTATCTTGACCTAACACAAACACTTTTTTTTTCAAAATACACAGTAGGCGTTTAAATTAAAAGATAAGCAAATCTAAGTTTACACTCATTTGTTTTTTAATTGGTAAACAAAATACACGCACTTTGTCACATGGCTGATAATCTCTAACCAAAACCTCTGCAAGTTAATTATTTTTTTTGTTACCCAAGCATTTAGTACGAATGTAATCCGATTAGTGAACTTACTGAAACACTGGGCTAACTTTTGTACTGTAGTGTTGCCCTTTAGATCAGTCGTGGCGTTCAGTAAGCTTGCTATCGTATCAATTTACTGAAACATTGGGCTAACTTTTGTACTATAGTGTTGCCCTTTAGATCAGTCGTGGCGTTCAGTAAGCTTGCTGTCGTATCAATGTATCCGCGCGCGCGTGATTTCTGCTAATTGAGTGGTTTGTTTGTGACGTTTGGACCATCATATTACTGCCAGATGTTTTTGTACTGTTTCAGTTAAACAAATAACCTCGTGGATTTGCGCTCTTTTGTCTTCATTGCAACTTGTGTAGTAAATTGTGTAGTAAATTGTAGAACGCATTTTCACGTAGAAGCTTATAGCGCATGTAGGAAAACTACTTTAAGGACAGCAGGTAGCAGGCCTTGTAAATTTTGGTAGCCCCTTCCTTTATATGTTCGTGGGACGGAGTGGCCTAGCGGTAGTGGCTCGAGTTCGAATCCGGGTTTAAGCCAGTAGATCGTACCTGAGTCCACCCAACTCTGATGGGTAGCTAACTCACGTTAGGGAGAGTAAAGGCGGTAGGGCATAGTGCTGACCATACTATCCCTTCATATGCCGAGGTCACAGAAACAGGTTAACCTTACTTCACTTGCCCCATAGACCATCAGCTTTGGAAGTGGAACGTTACTTTCTTACCCTTATATGTTCAACTTTATGTAATTAGACACCTATGTTGGGACAACTTATGCAATTGGACCACCCATTTATATGTTGGTACACGTTATGTAGACCACCCATTTAGGCCTATATATTGGGACACGTTATGTACACCACCCATTTATATATTGGGACACGTTATGTAGACCACCCATTTATATGTTGGTACACGTTATGTAGACCACCCATTTAGGCCTATATATTGGGACACGTTATGTAGACCACCTATTTAAATGTTGGGACCACCCATTTCTAACATGTAGTTATACCATATGCATTTAGATCACCCCATACTCATTATATTGAAAAAATAGACTTCCCTTTTCTCATATGCCGGCACGCCTTGTAAAATTATAGCCACTTCCCCCCTTCCTTATTAGTTGAGACACCCTATAAAGCTCGACCACACCTTCCGCCGATCCACCTCACCACAGTTCGATACAACACCCGTTTCCCGTTTACAAGAAAGTATCCGATTACACCCCCGCATGACTGACAACAGCAACAAGACTGATCTCGATCTCGAACTAATAGTCATTTCGGCGCTCGTTAGCTTCTATTGTAATTTTCTTGTTTAGGGTCCCAGATAATTTGGTTAAAAAAAAAGAGCGAAACAATTCTACCATTAAAAATTGTGTTTTTCGTTTTGAATACATTAAAAAAATAATAGCCTGAATATTTAAACGTAAATAGAAATAAACACCAAGTTGGTTTCGTTATATTTATAAATGCTAAATTTATGAGTGTAATTTAAATTTTGTTTTAAATATATTGAAAAGCTGCTATCTTTTTTATTGATGATCAGTTGCTTCCCTTTCCAACCGAAAACTGGTAATCTCCCTTTGCGCGTCCCCGTAAACTCTTCTGTAGCGAGATCTCGAAGGGAAAT